CTTTAGCCTCCAACTCCAACTGGCCAATTTCTTCCCTGTTTTTTAGTTCACATCCCTGAGAGGACAGACTGATTGGTCCAGTTTGTGGATTACCCAGAATCACTGGCTGGCCTACGGGGTAGCTAGCTGCAATCAGAACGGGCAACATCATGTGAAGCCAACACCACAGCAGCAGGAACCTTAGAGGTCTGGGTGACTGGGTGATACTCCATGGCTATCCTGTCTCGCATAATTTTGCCTTATGTGCTCATGTCTTTCCTCATAGGCCCTGGTAAAAAATAGACTCTGAGAAGACGCTTAGTGGCTGCCATTTTCAGGTTACCCGAACGTTCTTGTCTCTAGTGGTATTAACTCAGACACTTTCAAAAGTTTTGTAGGGAAGGCAGGAAAAAAAATCATCTCTTCCTTAGCCAGTTAAAGAGTAGAAAAAGCCATGATCAGAAGAGGCAATAGGTCATGGGAGTGAGTGGGGGTCGGCAAGCTAATCTAGGAGGGGACAAAGGAAAAATAAAGGGGGTGTCTGGAGAACCAGTCTGAAACTGAGAAATACACTCCAGGGAGGCGTTTTCATATGATGCCCTAGACCCCCAGCTGCTCCTTGTGCTACCTTCCTATGCCCACTCACAACCCAGAGCTGCATTGTGTCTCATAGGTCAATGTTTTAGGCACCCTACGGCCTGTATAGGCTGGTCTGGGAAATTTACCACCATTTATGACCTTGATCCTATAGAAAATGTATTACTCTCACAGTTGAACTAACGGGCTTACAAATGGACTTGTGGAGCACAGTTGGGGCTAAAATCAGGAACTGCCTGTAGGTAGGTGGCAATTTGGGAATTTTGCTTGGGAACTAACAACACTAGAGAATCAATAGCTCTCAAAAGAAACTTCTGTTCGCCTTTCTCATCACCTACTTTGCTCCAGGGAGGAAAGTGTTTACGGGGACTTAGTTAGATTTTAAAAAGTGACTTTAGCCATGAGCTGATAGATATTTTTACAGTTTCTAGGAAAGGGATTAAAAGTAATACCAAATGTTGGGGCCAAAGTGATGAAAGAGTGGGTGCTGCTCATTTGGGAGATAAATGCAACACATCCCTTTGCCCCTTCTTCTCTCTACCTTCCAGGAGGGGTGAGAGGCAACGTTTCACACATTCCTTTATTCCTTTCTGCGCTCTCTCTACAGAAGCCAGGGCTCTGCTGCCCAGTGAAGGATGTGTTAGGTAGCTTTAACCCAGAAGATCTCAAGCTGAAGTGTGATCAGAAACACCTGGTAAAGTGGTACGAAATCCAGACCCTCTCCTGGAATTTGGTCACCATGTCTAAGATGCAGCATAGGTAGTTGTATTTTTAAACAAGTATCATATATGATTCTGGTGCAGATAGTTATCTATGATATTTGAGACAGAAAGCCCGGACCCTGGGGTAGAATCTGGCTCTCCTACTCAAATGAGGGGTGTTTGTGCATGTATGCACATGTGCGTGTACTTGCCCTCTTTAGTCCTGAGTTCCAGGAGATACCTCTTATCCAAGCAAAAAAAAAAAATGGCTAATACCTAGCTCGGAAGAGCTCCACATTTGAGTTTGAGGCCAAGGTCAAGTGGAGGAAAAGTTCCTACTGGTTAGGCATAGACCTCTGAGCCAGTACTTCGGGAGAGAGCAGTGGTTATCCACCTTCTGCAAGTTAGAACTGCCTGGGGATGACTGTGCTCCACTCCCAGAGTCTGAGATAACTGGTTTGGGTACAATCTGTTCAGAGTTCCTTGGGTATTTCTAACATGCAGCCAAAATTGAGAACCACTGTTATAAGGAAAAGGACATTTTCCTAGAGCTTTGGCTAAAAACAGTCTTAATATTAGCCTTTTAGGATGGACACTATAGAAGAAATCTTGATATTTACATTTCCATAAGGCAAAACAAACAAACAAAAAATCAACAATATGTAAGAGTATCTGAACTAATATTTACCTTAGAATATGGTATAAAAATATTCTTAGTTCGGCTTCTTTTGTCCTTTGGATAAAAAGAAAGGCATGGCACAATAAAACTCAGAATTCTCTAAAGCATCTCAGCTAGAGAGAAAGTTAACTACAACAGTACTTGTGGCTTTAAAGACTTTCTCTAAAGAAACAGAAAAATGTTAGACTTTTCTGCTTTTGCTTCTCTTTTTCCTGAGACTTAGCTGATCAGATTCATAGTTGATAAAGGGACAGCATTTCAGGAATATCTATGGTTTAATTATTTTACTTTTCTAGAAATAGGTAAATTTAATAGCAAAAATAGGAGTGAACTATAGCTTTTGAACAAATAGACGACCAAATTCTGAACATTAGAGGTACAACTTTATTAAATCTGTAGTTTCTGATCCATTCACCCAAGTTCAGTGACTAGTTTGTTTTAAACTGCCTTTTTAAAAACAATAATATGGTAAATTTGGATTTGGTGAACATTAAACTATCTCTTGTCAAATACAGTGCAATTTTGGATTTAGGATTATGACAGTTGTGTTAGAAACAGGCTACCTGGGCTATGTCTGAGTTATGTTGGATCCCTGATGTAAAGTTTGACCTTGTATGTTGTGTTCAAAATCGCCAGTTCTAAACAAGAATCTAAGGACCCCTAGTGCAATCCATGGACTTTGTTGGGGGTGTGTGTGGCGGTTGGGGGGGTCACATATACTCGAGAATTGTGTAATTTGAATGTATACGTTTTGTTCTGTTTTCCTAGGAGATGATCCTTAGCTTTTATCAGAGTCTCAAATGGTTTATAACTGAAAAGGCTAGGACCCAGAGCGTCATGTGTTTAAACAGGGAAGCTTCCACTCTAGTCCCCTTTAACACAGTGTGTTGTTCTGCACAAGATATAGAAAAGGAAAAAATCTGCTTTGCTCTTCAACCCTCTTCTAGGCTATAAAGATGTTATATGATATACTGACAGTCCTCGTGTCTCAGCTGAAATTCATTTACTAACAATTGAGCATTAAAGGGACAAGCAAAGATTCTTTTCTTTTGCTGAAGTTTTCATACCATTCCAGGAAGAATGGGCAGTTTTGACCAGTCAGGAAAAACTGACAATGGCCAAGGGAGAACCACTATATTCAATTTACAGAATGGGTGTAGTTTGTAACTTGTAGGACAGAAAGTAAATTTGATATTGTCCCATCTGATCCCCATCCCTGCATCTAATTAAGATGGTGTCAGTTTGAGGAGATAATCGTCAAAGGCTGCAAATGCAGTAAAGGTGTGCCTAACTTTAATCACATCCAACATGGGAAATTGTGGCTTTTTCAAATGACAATGTAAAGAGTAATGGCTTTTTGAAAAAAATTAAATGGAAAATTTCTTAAATTTTAAAATTTATTCAACATAAAAATGTTCATTCTGATTCTTTTTCCAGAATATAAGGGAATAAAATTCTTTTCTAGGTGACATTTAGCCTCATTGTGGAGAGAAACATAACTTTTGTTAAAATAATATTTTAAAATAAAATGTGTTGAAAATTACTATTACCTTCAAAAAATAGTAAAGTGGGACAATTACATAGCTAAATTTTCTCCTGGTGTGAGATATGTGATTACATGATGACCTTTTATTATCAATTCTAATTCCAAAATACATGAACACTTACAGTAGTTTTTACGTGGATTTAAGGAGTGTTACCTTTGTCCATACTTACTAGATATGAGGTTAAAATATTATGTTTCGTAAACTTTCATGGTTTTGCTTTCAGTGAAGGTAGTGTGCACTTGCATAAACAAAAGAAAAAGAAATTATTTTAAATTGAAAAAACATTTTCTTTAATTTGAACTACCGGATAAAATTCAGAATAATCCTTTCCATGTTATAGATATGGAAATACCTATGAGCATTTAAAATGGACATTGTGGACATTCTTAAATTTGAGTGACCAGGAACTATCTAAAAATTATTTTAGGCCACGAAATGGTTGCTCACGCCTGTAATCTCAGCACTTTGGGAGGCAGAGGCAGGCAGATGGCTTAAGCTCAGGAGTTTGAGACCAACCTAGGCAACATGATGAAATCCCATCTCTACTACCAAAGAAAAAAAAAGTTTTTATTGGCTTTTGATTTTCTAATCAGTTGATTGACCCATATAGATGAGTCAAATAGAGACAGCAATGCCATCCCTCCTTTAGAGAAGATTCCAGTTACTTAAATGTAATGATACTACATTTGAAAGCTAAAGATTCCATCTTTCAAATGCTAGTGAAACTAATCAAATGCAAGCATTCTTTGTTACATGCTAATAATTTTTCAAAATGTTTTAATCTTTAAAATGCCATTAAGTTTGCTCCCTGTAGCTATGTTTGCAGTGGCAGAAATAAGAACAAATTAGTTTAGGCTATTTGCAAATTAAAAATAAACATAATTGATTGCAAGACTCATAAAAATTGGATATTAATTCTTGAGGAAGAAGAGTGAAGCTACTTTTCTAGGTGATATTTATCCTCAAATATGGAAGAGTATGGGTTTTAAAAAATTATTATTATGAAACATTTTAAACATTAATTTTATTCAGTATTTTCTTTTTTTTTTTTTTTTTTTTTTTTTTTTTGAGACGGAGTTTCGCTCTTGTTACCCAGGCTGGAGTGCAATGGAGCGATCTCGGCTCACCGCAACCTCCGCCTCCTGGGTTCAGGCAATTCTCCTGCCTCAGCCTCCTGAGTAGCTGGGATTACAGGCACGCGCCACCATGCCCAGCTAATTTTTTGTATTTTTAGTAGAGACGGGGTTTCACCATGTTGACCAGGATGGTCTCGATCTCTTGACCTCGTGATCCACCCGCCTCGGCCTCCCAAAGTGCTGGGATTACAGGCTTGAGCCACCGCGCCCAGCCGGAGTATTTTCATACTATTACTATTTCAAGATCTTTGGGTAGGATGTCTAGATAGAATTTCCACTGGAGCTTTGGAGTGTACCTAGTAGGACATAAACTATTAGCTTACAAAGCTTAGAAAAAGACTCTGATCCTTGCATGTTTTTAAAAACAATCTGTATTATTTAATCCTAAGTATTTTTTTAAAACTGCTGTCATGCTACTTCATCTAGTTCTGGGTGCTGTTCTTTTGGGCAATGCTATCTTGGATCTATTCTTTGAAACAATCATATATAGTCTAGCAAGGCACAGGTCAATCAGGCTTTCGGTTGGAGCTGGGCCTGGAAAATGTTTTTCAAACAATTCTGTATCTATCCTTTCCTCCTGAACTGGAACTATTGAGAGTGTGATGGAAACAAATGCATCGGGTGGCTTGTTGGGTCTTTTAAGGGTCCTACGACTCTCATATTCTGTGAATGCATTGTGCAGAGAGGGTTAGAACAGCCTTCAGGTAGTAGCTAAAGATGCTAGAGCCTCTGAGGACCTCTTCACTGAGATTCCTAATGCTAGAGTCTGGCCTCTGCCATCACTGGGGGCACCTGGGGCCTAGCTTTGCTAGTGATAGCTGCATAGGGCCGTGAGACTCAGCTGATCATCACTGGGTGAGGAAGTGTCAGGGTCACTGCAGATCTGAGACAGGGCTAAGCTCAGGATTTCTTTCTTTTCTTTGTAAAACCGTAGTTCTTGTCCTGCTTTCCTGGCTTCCTCCAACTGCCTGAGGGCCGTTCGTAGCTCTTGAGAGACAATTCCTGGTGCCTCCCGCTCCTTCATGATCCAGTCCAGGGCCATGTGGCTGCGCATCTTTTCATCTAGAGAATACTGAGAATAGTAGGAGATGACTTCCTGGGGGCCAAGAAACAAGGTCCAGGGTGTCAGTAAACAGCAACACGGGCACCTGTCCACATGCTTCCCGCTGCTCCCCACATCCATTAGGGTTTTATCAACAACCCGGCCTCTCTCGTGTTCAAAAACTGAAACCAAAACCCACTGGTTTGCTTCTGTAAAGGGAATGAAGGGCTAAGTTAGCCTAGCAAACAAAGAATACCACTCCAGGTTGAGTCCAAATACACCACCAGGAATGACTCGATAATGTTCAAAACACAGCTCTACCCGTCTCTAGAAAAACAAGCAATTCACTGAAAATAGACTCCTACAACAATTGGTATGAATCTGGCCTTATTTATTCATTGAACCCTGCTGCTCAGCATTATTTCCTTTGGCAAGATAGAGAGAGGGAGGTAGCTCTACAGAAGGACTTGGGCAGAATGGGATTTGCTCAAATCCACTGAAGAAAGCAAGAAGCTCTTAGTTTAGGGCAAGACTTAGAAACCAGGAGAATCAACTGTGCTGTTAGCACAAGAAAGACGGTCCAACTCCTCGCAGTAACTACAGAAGGGAGTTTGGGAGTGTATGATGGAAGGCAGACATCTCCATTATTGATATCATAATGATACCAGCATGGTACATTGTCTTTTGCTTTTGCAAACAATTTAAAAATTAGTTACTGCCTGTCAATTCTTGTGTGAAAAATTTGCCAATACATAATAAAGTCATATGCAGAGTTGATCATGTGGAGTGATGGCATTGCTTATTTTTATTTTCAAGAGCATATGGTATGCATTTATGAGTTTAACAAATTAAAAGAAATCATGGAAAAGTGTTTATATCCCAACCAGCACATTTCAAAGGCCTTTTGTAAAATCCAAGGAAAAGGAAAAAACAAACAAACAAAACAAAGCCACTGTCAGCTACTCATTTCTTTTCCGTCTTTGGCAAGTGAAACCTAGACTTTCTAAGCAAAGAACAACTAAAAACTCGGGAGGCTGCGATGCATGGAAAGCTCCTTACATCTACCTTCATCTTGCTGACTCCTAGAGGCTTTCTTCCTCATACAAATTCCTTTTAGCAAATTCTCAGAAATAAACAACATTCTAACACATATTCTAATGGTGGGTAGAGGAAGAATAAATCTTGGAGAACAACAGGTGAAAACCATTAAATACCCAGGAGGGGGTTTACATTAGTTGTTAAAAAGGGGGGAAGGGGTACTCCTCATAAATAACAAAGAAATCGGGAGACCCTGTCTCTGTAAAATAAAGGAGAAACTTCTAAACCAAAAAAACGGGAGTGATTAAATGCCAGCTTGCCAACCTTTATAATCATTTCTGTTGTTTACGGGGGACTTTGGTAGGAGTGGGAAATACTCTTCTCCTACCACCAACCTCCAATGAGGAGGTTTCAGAAGCAGTGCATTTTCAAGTTTCTGCATCAGAAGGTGCATGAGGGCACAGGTTCCAAGGAGGCAGGGGAGGTGTATGGAGTAGGTCCGGCATTTGCTTTAGAAGCCGTCTGCCTTTATGATCCTTTTGATTTGCATTGAGTACAGGCACCTAAATCAGTCCTGTGCCCAGCCAATGTTCTTTTAGTGTATATATTTGGTCAGTCCCTGACTCAACAAGACTGTTACATTTACTTCTTCATGTGTTCTCTGCTTCTAATAAATAAGGTACCAAATGTATATTTGGAAAAATCAGAATAAAGAAAATCTCTTAGGAACATGATGAGCCGCCTACTGAGTTCATATAACACTAACCTAGACTTGATTGGGAAATCTTACCTGTCGGGAACACTTTGTTTCACGAAGGGCTTTTAGGCTTCCATTCCAGTGCAATAGTTGGAAAATGGTCATCAGCTCCTACAAAACCCAAACACCTATCATTGGTTCCAAAGCAGAAATGTGCGTTGGTGAGAGCTGAGCAAGGCATAACTCTAATTTCCAAATAGATCAGGAAACAGAATACACAATATTGTCACAACACTTTGGAAATTTCCGAATCCCAGGGTCCCTGGTCTTCTGGAACATTTTTCCCCTCCCTCCTTTGCTATATCTATAGCATTATTTTAATTACTTGTCTAATAAAATGACTAAATACTTGACATATGTCTTTCAGCATTAAAAATAATACATCAAACAATTCTATACTCAAGAAGTTATTTAAATATACCAGGACATCTGAGAAATAGTGTATAGGCAAGGTTTTACATTGTATCATTTTTTAAAATTGCTCCAGACTGAGAACATCTTAAAAGATCACCTTTAGAGGAATGGCTAAAGTGTGATACGTCCATACTACTGAACACTTTGCCATCATACAGATGAGAACATTCCATAAGTTTAAATAGAATTATGTGATGTGTTAAAAGCAAGGTACACAACCCTGTGTGCTGCGTGTTCCTACTGATTAAGAAGATCCCTACACACATGCTTGCTTGTAAATGCCTAGAAGGGTTCCAGTAAGATACAAAAGGATCTGGTAACATTAGGTGTCTCTGGAATGCCAGAGGAGCTCCTGGGGGGACAGGAGAGAGACCTTCTTGTGACATTATTTTGAAAAACTTACTGTTTTGAATCATGTTACTATGTTATATTTTAAAGAAAACACTTTAACTTTAAAAAAATGTAAGCCAAAAAATAAACATGCAAATATAGTTAAATAACATTGATAGGAGGCTCTTAGTTTGGCCAGAGGCACCGCATTAGGCCTAATAGGCCAAATCAAAATGGAAGTTCTAGATCACCACGCTGAAATGAAGCTGTTCATCTGAGCTTCCTAGAAATCAGGACAAAAAGGTAACTGCCAAATCCCCAAGCACGCCATTTTTAGCCAGCGTAATAAGGAAGTCCCCCTGCTTTAATCTTTACAAGAGAAGTAACTATGAAATGACCAATCCAGTCTCTGTTTCTACCTTTTTCAGCCCTTTTCTGCCTAAAGCCGACTTCTCTGCTCAGCTCACTGGAACACTCATTCTATTTTACGGAAGGAGGTGTTACCCAATTCTAAAATTGCAAGTAAAGGTCAGCTAGATAATTAAACTAAATTTATTATCATTTTGTCTTTGGACAATAGAAAACATATAATGAATAAACTATAGAAACTGTTCAATACTCCTAAATTTATAAATTCTGTCAAGAAAAATGCCTTGAAATATAGACAATGAAGTTATATTGACATTAAAACTCATCCATGAGTCCCAAATCCAAGGGCCAGGCCTGACCACAGCATTTAGACTATCAGCACCATCATTTCCTTGCCTTTTGTGGTATCAAGGGCAAGCTAAGGTATATAAGTATACTGAAGATTTTCATTTTCCTAATGTGCTTACAATTAGAAGTTTTCCACTGAAGTTATTTGCATTTCATTTACAGTTTTTTGTTGTTGTTGTCAGGGAGATATCTATTGTGGATTCATAGCATAACCACAACCACATAATTACTGAAAAAATAACTCTATACAATCAAGGAACTTTCATATCTTAAAAATAGTTATGAAAACTTAACACAGGCAGGTGTTCCTACTGCCCATTCAAAAAAGCTCTTAGCTGGGCACGGTGGTGTGTGCCTATAGTCCTAGCAACTTGGGAGGCTGAGGCAGGAGAATTGATTGAGCCCAAAAGTTTGAGATCAGCTTGGGAAACATATTTTATCTCTTAAAACAAAACAAAGCTGACTTTAATTAACTGTCTTTACAACTGCCTGCTCAGGAAATATTTCTCTTATGAAAATTGGGAGACTCATAGTCAGGTTTTAGGCATCTTAAAATTATTTGGTAAAATTTAAAGCTAACAGTATTAGAAGAGCAAATAGCACCTCTCTCATGTCTAAAATTGGTGTTAGAATGAAAAGTTTGTCTTCCTTTCTGTCAGAGATCCAGCTTGGCATTTAGTCTAAGTTCACTGCACAGTAAGCACTCTGAGAGCCCACAGACACCTCAGTAAAAGCAAAACCACTTGTGTCTGCTAATTAAAACACACATGAATACCAGCTGGGCTGCTCCTTCTGCCCCAAATGGAGACCTCCCTGTCTGCCCACGGTCCTGGGTCCAGTGCCCAGGGATGCCATCCCCTCATGGCCCCTCTCCTCCACATCTTCCTGCCCTTGTTCAGATTTTCACTTCATTACATCACTATGCTAATTTGAAAAAGTGGGAGTGCTTTGTTCTAGAAATCAAATCTCATCCCATCGGGCTGTCACTGCTGTTCCTCTCAGGCTTTCCATCAAAATACCCCCAGTGGCTGAGGACGCAAATTTATGCTGCCCTTCCTACCATACTAACAAACCTACTCACTGAATACTTTGAAGCCATCAAAATGAATAGGAAGGAAGGTTGTTTTTTTTTTTTTTTTAATATTTGGGAACCAGTCTCTATGATGTAACAGGAGGGCCAATATTTGTAAATAAGAAAAATATTTTGGTTTTATGTTTTATAAGAATCCGCTCAAATTGTGTATTCTAATAAATATTGGCCTGGTGTGGTGGCTTACACCTATAATCCCAGCCATTGGGAGGCTGAGGCAGGTGGATCACTTGAGGTCAGGAGTTGGAGGCCAGCCTGGGTGAAATGGTGAAAACTCATTTCTACTAAAAATAAAAAATTAGCAGGGTATGATGGTGGGTGCCTATCATCCCAGCTACTTGGGAGGCTGAGGCAGGAGAATTGCTTGAACCTAGGAGGCAGAGGTGCACTGAGCTGCGATCATACCATTGCACTCCCACCTGGGCAACAGAGACTCTGTCTCAAAGAAGAAAATAAATATCACTCCAGTCCTCCATCTGACCCCTACAACCCTAAATCTTTATGTAAAGTTGAGAACACAGACACATATACTGGATTTATTTTGTGGCTTCCAATAGCTATCTATCTTGGCATTGTTCTTGCGTCCTGTGGCCCAGTTTGAGAAACAGCCTATTGCTAACAGAGCTCTTAGTTCCATCCTCTGAGAATTGTTGACTCAGAAACATGCTCTTCTTCCTCTGGGATCTTCTGGGCTCTCTTTCCTACCTATTCACTAACTGCTGTCTCCACTCCATAAGCAACTATCATTCCACCCTGAAAATCTCCTAAGACTTTAGAATTCACAACTCAACTGTGAACAGAACCAAAACTTTCTCATGCCCCTTGACAACCTTCCTCTTTCAAAAATGTCCCCAAAGAGACTTGAACCGTTTTTGTGTCCAGGATGAAGTTCATCCTTCTCACCACCTCTGGTTTGTCGAAATTTCTATCCCATTATAAAGCAGTGTTTTTTTCCTCTCTGGTAACACAACTGCCACTTCCTCAGTGTTGCTCTTAAAATTCCCTAGGGAAGATGACCTCTTTTCCAACTTCTTACATTATATCTCCTTCTAGTTTTTGTCCTCTGTAGAGATATTCTTCTTGCCATCATTATATACAGTATATTTAAATATTATCACATTTTTTGTCTCACTTCTTTATTTCCCCTCATAAGACCAAATTCACTATCTTCAAATTTTTCCAAACTATTTGAGATCTCAGCTCAACCCCAGGAAATCTTTGCATGCCTCTGACCGTTTCCATCGGAAATCCCTGCATGATGGCAGAGTGGCAAGGAGAGGGCTTCTGTGGAGTTCTGCTTGCTAGTTTCCCAGTGATTCCTCATGCCTCATGTTTGCTGGCTCACTTTCTACCTGGGGAAGCTCCGTTTCTCTAAAGGAATTAATGTAGCCAGGAGCGGTGGAATGTGCCTGCAGTCCCAGCTACTAGAGAGGCTGAGGCAGGAAGATTGTGATTTTGAGCTCAGCCTGAGCAAAATAGCAAGACTCTGTCTCCAAAAAAAAAAAAAAGAATACATATAAAATTAAAAAAGAAAAGGAAGTTAGTGTCGTCTTTTCCTGTGAGGGTCTGTTGTACTCCTCACTGAAGTCTTTCGGGCTATAGTGTTTGGTTTGTGGGGTAATCTGGAAGCCTGAGGGGCCTGGCTGGACCAACTAGAAAAACAAGAAGTTGGCCTCATAAGGTGAGGCAGGTGAGGTAAGATTTAAAGTGAGTGGGGCCAATTATACATGTTCATGGTCTTTTATTTATAATTCTCATATTTTGTTTATCATAAATCTTTTTGCATGAATTTTGAGTTTAAAAATATTGCATTATAATATTATTTATCCTGATTATGAAGTTTTTAAGCATCCGTTTTAATTTTGTACCCAAGACAAAGGCCTCACTTGCCTAACCCTCATCTGGTCCCTTCTTGTGGCTCTGTCTCAGGGACAAGCCTGGCTTCACGGGCATGAGGTATGTGCAGTTGTACAGGTCCCCTGCTTGGTTTAGCATTCTGCTGTCTTGAAATTCTTGGTAATTTTTGAACAAGAGCCCCTGGATTTTCACTTTGCACTGGGCTGGGCCAATTACCTAGCTGGTCCTGGCTAGCAGATTAAATTTAATATAGAATGAAGAATCAAGCTGTGTGTTTTCTTTCCTCTTTGGGAAAACTTCAGTTGCAGCTCTCTCTTCAGCTTTCCTGGTTTATTTTGTCATTCATTTCATTTAAACAGACAACGGGTCTCTGTCCTCACAGCCTTTCCTGGTGTTGCCTCCTGTTAGAAACAATGTTTGGCTTTTCAGCTACTTCTAGGAAGAAAATGCTCACTGCTTCTTTTTGGAACTCTGTCTAGGAGACTGGCTTGACTCTGTGATTCATCAGAAGTAAGAAAAACAAACACTGTAAATGGAGAACTTGAAAAACAGGTGGGCACCATCTCCCCAACCAACAGAATGGATGTAAGAGGAAATTTGTTTATGGGATGAGGTTTTAAAAGGCAACCTGGAGAATTTAGCAAAGATGTAAATAAACAACTCTTCCTTGGATTGCATTAGGCTTCAGAATAAATATATTAACCAGCTTCAGTCAAAGTCTGCCTAGAATCTGACCTTGACAAGACCCAGTGACTAGTGCTGCTCCCAAACCTCCCGCAAACAGCAGGCAGTTTTCTCTGTGGCAAGGCTGCCTCGGAACAGGCATTCCGGCTTCCCTCCCACGGAGTGAAGGTAAGCAGAGGCCTATCATGTTTCCTCTGAGTGCTGGCTGCAGGATGGCCCCCCCTGAAAGCCTGAGGGCAGTCTGGAGACACCAGCCTTGTTTTTATATGGTAGAGTCATCCATGGCTAGATACAAACACACATCTATTACCCACCAGGGGTACTGAATTGCTGTGCTGGCTGCAGAAACAGCCCAGGTCTGTGGTCGATTCCCATTTTGTGTAGACACAAGCAGATGTATTTAACCCAGGCCACTGAGGAATGTGCCAGGTCCCAGCAGGCAAACTTGGGCTGGTAGAAGGAAAAGGGATGCACTCCACAGGCCCTCCTCCTGCGGAAGGGAGTCTGGCTTTTCCCGGCCCTCACATCTTTCTCTTCCTTTGTTCCCATCCTGTATCCAGACTTCTTTAGGAGAATATATGAAGCATGTCCACAGTCGGATTCAAATTATTATTTCACAAATTTAAACACCCTACTACAGACCACACAGAAAACACATAGCCTATAGCAAAGCAATTGAAGTATTACTAAAAGAGGGTTGAGTAGAGCCTTTCATAGTACTTGGAAGGAATTTTAAGAATTTTTCTTTTTTTAAATCTCACCTTCCCCCATCTTTGGCAGACTAAACCAATCACATTGAAAATCATTCTTAATTTTTCCAAAAATAGCACTAAATCACATACAAGCTACTATGTACTGGGGTAGGCAGTGTTCATTCCATAATAAAAGAAGTAAAATATTATTTGGAGGAGGAAGAGGAATTAAATGAAATTCCTGTTTGGGGGAAGCATTACGCCAGATGCTTTATAAATGTCACACAACTTAAGTCCCACAAAAAAAAGTCCTACAAAATAGGCATGATTATTTCTATTTTATAGATGAGAAAACTGAGTCTCAGAATGGACAAGCTCATAGATGGCAAGTGGTAGAGCAGACTCCACACATAGGTCTGTATGTATGTTTTTATAAAGTTTATATGCTTTCTCTTGAAAGGACACTTCTTTTTTTAAAAAAGTTTTTCCTCTGTTTAATTTTAGATTGTTATGGGAAAAAAGGACCTTTTACAGATGGACTCTTTTATCCTAGAATAGGGTCCCTGAACCATTTTGTGCAGGTTCAAATAGAGCTAGGTTAGACAAAGTTGTCAACGAAATCTATCCAGTAGCCGCTGGCATTTCAAGCAAAGACTCCTTCAGAAATACATATAATAACGGTTGTTCACTTCACTGAGCATTCACCATACCACAGGCACTCTTTCGGCTGCTACCCATCTCATCCCATTTAATACTCAAAATAGCACTGCGAGGAAGGTAGTGTTATTCTCTCTGATTTACACACAAATGAGGAAACAGATTTTGAGGTAAGGAACAGAGGTAGGCTTAAACTGGCCAGCCCACTGCAGAGCGTGGGTCAGAGCCACTGAGCTGACATGCGCCCCATTCACTTCAGAGGATAGGCTTAAAAGGATACCTTGTTGCTTCCTAAGCAAGACAGGCGATGTCACAGGTCAGTAACCATGGCCGCTTAAGGATAAAACTGGATGACCAAGATTTAGGATGGGTGAAGAAAAAGCATTTTTGCTGCACGCATGCAGAAGGCTAATAGATAATATTTATTTTTAAAAAATGTGCAGGGGAGCCATATCCATCTGAGAAGTGGTTATACCATTGTGGTCAGGAAAGGAGTTTGAAAGGCACCAAAGAAGGTATTTAAACGTTGTGGCTTCAGAAGGGCTCAGCTCACCATTGTAAATTATACCGTGAGGAACGTTTTTGCCCATGAAATCTCATACCTCTGATTGCTTCTTGGAATATAACCTAAGAAAACAGAATTTCTAGGGGTGAAGTCTCTTTGTTATATTGCATTCTGATTCCTACCAGCATTGCATGTGTATAGATGTTCAGTTGAACTGCACTGGAGTTCAGTTTTTCAGAGGAAAGCACATTTCATGCTCAATCACTACTAAATTTCTATCTGTCCACCTCAATATAGAATAATAGTCAGATGTGTGAGTTCAGAGATCAGACTGCCTGATCCTGAACCTTAGCTCTGCCATTCTTCAATGATCTCATGAGGGTAACGATAGTATCTACCTCATACAGTTATTTTGAGTGTTAAACTGTGATACTATTTGTTAAATACTAAGCATGGGCCAAAGTAAGCATCCATAAGTGTCAGCTGTTATCACTATTGTTATTAACAATATATTTTAGAAACAATAGGTAATATTGTTCCTAAGCTCTTGTTATTTGTCAGCAGTGGATGAAAAAGGGTTACATATTGTTAAATTTTTTTTATTTGGTTGATGATAGGAGGTGGCAGAACTTGTTTAATAGAAAACCAGACCCAAGGAGGGTATTGTTTAATATGCACTGCAGGAACTTTCAGAAGTCATAGAACTTCTGAAAATTAAGAAGCAGATGGTAACAACCAACAAATTAAACTGTTTGAATTGGTTTAAGGGGGAACTTTGTACTGAAGGGCTGGTGAAATGTTATAGAATCATAAGAATGTGGTGTACCTCACCTATTTCTTAGATTTGTTTTGTACTTTCCTTTATAAATGCAAAGATTGTTTCCTGATTGCTTGTTTGTTTAGGCCTATGAAATGTGGCTACCATGCTGGATTCCAGGAGGGTTAATTTAAAATGACCGAAAACACTTAATACCAAAAGATGATTGGGTCAGGAGATGTTAGTGGTAAGAATTGCATTTCTCTTAGGCTTCTGGATTGGATAATCAAATAAACATGTGGCATGCAGGCGAGGTACCTGAAACTCCAGCATGGTCTTCCCCATGTTTGACTCCAGCATGTAGTGATAGGCTCCGACACTGGTGCTGGGGTCATCTGCATCATCTAAAGTGCCCTTGGGAAAGAAAGCAGGGAAAACAAATTACTGATTTTTCCTCCTCTTCTTTGAGAATGGTCACAAATTAATTCTGTGACCACACAGCAAGCCTTCTATTGTTGTTATAACCCAAACAGATGTTCACTCTACAGCCAAGTCTCCAGTTGATTTGAGGGTTTTGTAATCAATTTGAATTGAGCTTTTGATTAGATTGCTGTTATATACTTGCTGATAGAATAATTTTCCAAAAGAAGACATTTCTATATGATCGCACAGGGTTTTGGTGGTGGTGGTGGTAATATTTGCATGGCTGAGCTCTGAGGCTGCCTTCATTGGTTATTGAAATCTTGAAACACGACTTTGCTCTGATTCCAATGATAACCAGGCAAGATTATATAATTGACATGGAAAGAATTCATCAGTTGTATGGACCATTCACATTTTACTGCTGTGATTCTTAATAGGAACTTTTCATAATATGCTGGTGTTTCGCCTGGAGACGTGGATCATGGTTTATACTTTTTCAGTCCTGTATCGCTTACTCTTTAGGAAACGAGGTGGGTGGGTGATGGGTAGAAATGAAATTCCCTTTCAGTTTGGGTGTGGGGAGTAGTGCTGAGAAGCTAAGACAACTCTGGTATGGCCTTTGGGCCAGCCCTTCCGTATGCTGTGGGTGTGGATTCCTGGGAAGGTGGGCAGTGGTGACTTTGAGACTGAACAAACAAGTGCCAGCATCAGACAGCAGCAAATTTATAGCTTTTGAATGTAGTAACATTAACACACTGCTGCTGAAATATTTATGTGGGCTTTTTAAATATCCCAGAGGAAATCCATCTAGAAGCATGCAAACCATATATATTCTGTTTCCTTAGAAATTTCCATTAAAAAAATGATAAATTACTTGTACACTGAGGGCCCTTCCCTGCTCCTGAATAAATTTCACACTTATATAAATCAAGCATCATTTTCCTAACCTCTCTTCCTCACAAGCACTTGAAATTTACAGAACCGGAAAATAAAGGCTTCCTTTCATTCTCAGACCAGATACAGAACAGAACTCCCTGCCATCTCCCAGCCAAGTCAATCACTCTTCTTCCCCTGCTCCTTCCTTATCTCTCCTTTAGCGATAAGAAGATTTATGAGGGGAAAAGGGCCACATCTAGTCTGATAGCATTTCCTTCATCATCAGCAGCTGCACCAGAATGACAGCGCCTATCTAGTTAGGGGAAACAGCGAAGGAAATCTCAGGTGGGTTTATCTGTGCTAAAGGCAAGCCAGAGGTAGCTAATCTCTTTGGTAATGCCAGGTTCCTGCCCTTGAGCACACACAAGGAGATACTTACCACAGGTGGGGACTCAACGCTTCTTCCTTGGCTTATAGTTTGGAAGAAATAGGAGTTGGGTGCTACGAATCATTCATGGAACAAATATCCTGTTCTGTATCGCTTAAAAAAAAAAAAAAGTACTATCTAATTTATAAGACAGGTTGTTTTGCTCTTATAGCCTTTTGCATTTAATTGTGTTCATTACAGAAATTTTCAAAGCTCTCCGAAGAGGTAATTGATATTAACCATAGTAATTCTAATAGCTAACACATATTGAGCATATGGTTTTTTCCATATCTAAACAGTCCATAGTTCCTTAAAAATGCAGATTGTAGGGCCCCACAATGGCTGGGGAACTGGCACTTTCAGTAAATACTTCAGATGATTTTCATGATCTTTCAAGTCTGGGGAAAATGGAGCTAGTTGTTCACTAGATTAAAGCAGTTTTCCACTGTATGTGTTCTCAGGCCCTAAAAGAATCAACACTCCTCAAAAAGCAAACATTCACTTAAACATATTGAGGTGGATCCAATGATCTACCTTGCTTTGAAGCTTGACTGTGATCCAGAGAGATTAAAAAATATTATTGAGATGTGTGAATTTTATGATTTCCAATGTAAGTATTCATTTTTTCCTGAAAATTAACAATTTAATGGGTAAAAATTGAATCTACAGAACTCTTTAAATAAGAATTTGCTGGCCAGGTGCGGTGGCTCATACCTGTAATCCCATCACTTTGGGAGGCCAAGGTGGGCAGATCAAGGTCAAGAGAGGTCAAGAAATTGAGATCATCATGATCAACATGGTAAAACCCCGTCTCTACTAAAAATACAGAAATTAGCTGGGCGTGGTGGCACAGGCCTGTAATCCCAGCTACTCGGGAGGCTGAGGCAGGAAAATTGCCTGAACCCGGGAGGCGGAGGTTGCAGTGAGTTGAGATCGTGCCACTGCACTCCAGCCTGGTGACAGAGTGAGACTTTGTCTCAAAAAAAAAAAAAAAAAAAAAAAAAGAATTTGCTCATGTTAGCATCTCTCCTGATTCAAATGCTTTAGAATTCTCAATGCAGCCATCTCCTCCTCCCCTTCCTGGTGGTACTCACTCTGGTGGAGGCTACTGCTTCCTGAACACTTTCCATAATGAATTCCTTGGTGATCCTGCGAGACGGCAGCTCATTGAAGAGGGAGTTGATCAGGGCCACTTTAGCTGCATCCCGCCTGGCCTCAGCTCTACTTAAGCAGCACTTGAGAAAGGAAGGAAAAAAAGAGTCATTCAAGGATTTAGCATTTCACCATTCCACTCCTGTATCAATGGGTCTCTGGACATTTCTATTTATGCATTTACTGTCCACATCTATTCTTTTCATATCCATTGCTAATCTCCCTGAAGATCATGCAGATTTTCTTTCCGCTCTAGAGTCCATGCAAATATCTTGGTTGATCTTCAATTGCTTATTGTATTTTACAGTCATTGAATGTCTACTGTATGTCAGAAGCTTTGCATACTGTTAATGAGTAACGATAAATAAATAATGGCTATTATTGTGTGCCAGATGACTTATATTCATTATCAGGGCCTTCTTCAAATCCCTATTTCAGAGAAAAAAATGTAAAGAAAAGAGAAAAGCAAGGAAATTGGAAATACTTGTAACACAATAATTAAGAACACAAATTCCAGAGTCAGGCTGCTTGGGTTCAAGTTTTAGCTCTGGCGTTTACTAAGTACAAGACCTTGAATAGGTCAGTTGGTCTCTCTGCACTTCAATTTCCTCCTTTATAAAATAGGAATAATTGTAAAGTTGAGGTTAGGATCAATTGTTTAATATAGATAAAGCACTGACAATAATTGGCACATAGTAGCACTTATGAGAACAGGCCAGCCAGACCTTTTTATCTCCAGGTTAGTACAAGGGTGCTGCTGTCAATATCTCTTGCTTTTGTATTTCCAACATTCATCCTCCACCTTCCTTCTAGTAACAGATCCCTGATTTTCTTGAGGACTAGACTTTCCCCCTTGCTCTCAGTCCATGTGGTTTTGTTGGGGAATACTCCATTCAAACCTCCTTGAATTTAGGGGCATAGGCAGCCTATGATTAGTGACTCATAAAAAAATTCAGTCCCCTCAAATATAATATTGCTTTCCATACTCCTAGACTGGCTTCTGTGGCTCATATGGATCTGGTCAATGCATCCTGATTCTTTTCTGTCCTCCCTGTCTCTGAACAACTAACAACTCCCATTATTCAAGTTCTGGTTTGGCATGGATTCTGGGAGTGCAGATACAGGGACAAATCCCCTGAGTACTGGACTGTCCCTGGAGCCCACACCTTTTGGAGAGCTCAGGAGTTGATGGTCTCTCTCCTACAGGTTCCTGTGGACTCCGGGATAAGTGTCTAGGATCCTGGTCTCCTAGAGGGAAACAAGTCCCAGGAAGAGAAGTCCAGGCCCAGGTTCTGGTCAGCGGGATGACCAGGCACCCCGGCTCTGCTCCTCAGAAACCTGGACCACTTGAACTTTGGGAGCTAATCTTCCCGTTGGACAAATAGGGAAGCAAGACTCTCTCATCTCCAAGGCTCCTACTACCCAAAATGCGTGATTCTCAGAATCAGTAGTTGTTGATGACTGAGGGGAAAGAAAAGGAAATATATCAAAGATCACATTTCATTTTAGTTTCACAGAGCAAGGGCTCTGTACCATCAATAGAAAAAAGCCAAATCTCTCTCATTTGCTTTCACAACATCCCTGCCTCCATCCTATCTGCCCTATGTTGACCATCTCTGCACTATCCCGGGAACACTCCAGACTTAATGCTCTCATGTCCTCTGGAGACCTGTCTCCCCTCCCCATCTCCACAAACCTAGTTGGAGTGCCCTGAAGCCAGGTTCCAGGTTCTCTGTGATTGTTCCTCAACCTTCTAGAACAGTAGTGCCTATATAATGATCCTGTCCTTGACTATGGGTAACTTCTTGCCCGCCCCCTCTCCCAGCCTCCAGGCCTGGGAGGAGCCCTCATATGCTTTTGTTTTTAAAGACTGATTCTCCTTCTGTTGCCCAGGCTGTGTGCAGTGGTACAATCTTAGCTCATTGCAACCTCCTCCTCCTGGGCTCAAGCGATCCTCCCCCATCAGCCTCCTGAGTAGTTGGGTCTACAGGTACTTGGGACCATGCCTGGCTAATTTTTGCATTTTTTATAGAGATAGGGTCTCACTGTATTGCCCAGGCTAGTCTCAAATTCCTAGGCTCAAGCGATCCAGCCACCTTGACCTCCCAAAGTGCTGGGATTACAGGGGTGAGCCACTGCCCCCCTTATATATTTCCTTTTTTATTTCAATAGTTTTGGATACAGGTGCTTTTTGGTAACATGAATAAGTTCTTTGGTGGTGATTTCTGGGAATTTGGTGCACCTGTCACCTGAGCAGTATATTCTGTATCCATTATGTAGTCTTTTATCCTTCACCCACTCCCAACCTTCTCCCCCAAGTCCCCAAAGTCTATTATGCCATTCTTACGCCTTTGCATCCTCGTAGCTTAGCTCCCACTTCTAAGAGAAAACGTACAATATGTTTTTCCATTCCTGAATTTCTCCACTTAGAATAATGGCCTCCAGCTCCACCCAAGTTGCTGCAAAAGACATTATTTTGTTCATTTACATGGCTAATTAGTATTCCATGATGTACCACATTTTCTTTATCCACTCATTGATTGATAGACACTTAGGTTGGTTTCATAGCTTTGCAATTGCAAATTGTGCTGCTATAAACATGAGTGTACATGCGTCTTTTTCATATAATGACATTTTTTTTTCCTTTGGGTAAATACCCAGTAGTGGAATTGCTGGATCAAATGGTGATTCTACTATTAGTTCTTTAAGGAATCTCCATACTGTTTCTGGATATTTCTCGAGCATCCTCCACGGGCTGAGCCAGGCTCAGTGCTTGGAATGCTATACATGGTGAGAGTGTTGATGAAGTAATTACGAGACTTTTGAAATGGCAAGAACATGACACTGAGGAGAATTAAACACAAAGAAAAAAATAGCAAAAGCCAACCAACCAAACAACATTTGCCAAGAGCATAACAAAGCAGAACAATTAAGGGCAGGCAGAAGAAAATATTATAACTTAGAACAACAACAACAAAAATCACTCTTAAAAGATTGATTTTCTATATAGCCTTTGAATGAAGAATGGAGCTAAAGTTCCAAAATGAGTGTGGAAAGTAGTTGGACTTTTTTTTTTTTCCTTGGTTTTGAATAACAAGCAAGAAGGATTTGGGGGAAGCTTTAGAGAGCAAGGCCATTCAAGGTTTAGACCTCTTCCAAGTTTTAGGTGACGTGTATGAAACCAGAATGGTTTTGACAAGACAGATTAACTTTGTGTTATGGGCTTGGCTGAAAATTTATTAAACATTGGGTCACCAATCTTTCACTGAAGCTTGAGTGCCATCTCTTTTAGGAAGCTTTCCCCGACTCTTGGGAAAGAGAGGCATTGAACCCACTGCACTGTTAACTGTTGGCCAGTGCTCTGTCACCGCCATCCCCTGGCTGTGAGCTCCCTAAAGGCAGAGCCTATGAATTGGTTGTCTCCTGCCTCCTGTGGCCTGGTTTGCTGAATTAGCAACAATACAGCCTAGGAAACTAAAAAACAAGTCACTGAAGCACTGGACATAATGTTCAAGAAATCCTCATAAACAAAAGAATGAAAGATATATACTTCCAATTTTTTTAAAAGGGTGCAATTTCAATAAATCCTCTATGTTATGTGTAACTTAGTAATATAAAAATATATTAATGAATTTCAGAGGAATAATTGGTCATTGCATTCAGATACTTTGAGGTGACCATTTTTGCCTGAGCGTAGGGTATGTTTATTATTCTTTGGAAAAATCCATTCCCCTTTAAAAATGGTTTTGCAAGTATTACCTGACATCTGTAGAAACAGCTCATTTTAATAGGAATTTAGCTTTACAAAATCTATCCTAGAGCTCTTGGGGTTTCAGAATTTAGAGAATTAGATTCAGATCTGGGCACTCTTCAGAAACAAATTCTATCTAAATAATAGCAATTTAAACCATCTTTTATGGAGAGAGAGACCTAGTAAACACTAGTTAGATAAAAGAAGCTATCTATTTTAAATAAGACCAGCTAAGTACTAGATCAAAAGCGCCACATACGTTTACAACCAAATAGCACTGCTCCAAGATCAAAGTGTAGTCTGGCCGAGAGAACAGAAAGAGCCTTAACATAGAAAGCATGAAAAAGGGCTGCAGAGACCTAACCAGTATCATGATTTTAAAGCAGACACATGTCTATGCTTATTTTATTGTTTCAATGTACAGAACCTTTGCTTAAAATGGGGAGAAAGTGTTCCAATTAATAAGTACATAAAATAAAATAAATTCTGAGCCATCAAAGGACTTTTCTTGCTATTGTTCTTGGCATTTCTGAAAGACAAGTACTTCAAAATGTCTATAATGTTAACCAGCCGCTTTCTTCTAAATTCTGGAACTACAAATCCCAGCCAATAACGGCTGCATATTTTTCTCTAGGGATCTTTTAATGGGACCTCTCAACCCATAACGATCTTTACGTGGGGAAGAAATTTAGCCAAATGACAATCTACGTGGTTGCAATCTGAATCAGAATGTGAATGTTGCTGTAAGAACAGGCACTGTTAAAGTTACTATCAAACAGTGGGAAACTGTAAGAAAATAAAATACGGTAAGTGACAGGACATTTTATGTATGTGCCCAAACCAGACGTCAAAGACATCAGTTGAGGAGCGAGTGAAGTATGATGTTATTTCAAAGTAACTTCCTGCTAGACTTAGACTTCCCAGGTTATACAGTTTATTCTTGCTATTTTTCAGCCAGGCCCTACTCATAAATATAGATTTGTAAACTGTGTCTTTTCTGTTAACCATTCTTACTTGTTAATATAGAAAGACAACTTCTGTCCTTTGCACTTTGTGAAAGTGCAGAGCTGGGATGTTTAATAGGCCAGATTTTACTAAAATCAGCTGTGGATTTCTTAGGTGTGTGGAACCACATGCTTTCCGAGTGGCCAGCAGACCTCACTCAGACATTTATCTTGATGTTCAGATGCCTTTCATTTGCTGGTAGATTTTAAACCACTATAATCATTTCAAAGCCTCCTGGCTCTGATCTAAAATTAAAGTAAAAAAAAAAAGAGTGACTGTGGCATTGCTCAGGAAAACTATGCAAAGGCAGTGGTAGCCAGTTTGTAA